GAGAGTCGGCTCACTCACACAAACCTAAATTGAGCCATTAAGTGGCTAGTGAGTGATTAAATTCGCTAAACAAGGCTGAGATTTTAAATGCATATAATTTAGAGTCTGCAAATATGTGCGACTTCCACGGAGGTCTGGTTGTTTTCTTCAGTGCATTTACTTGCTGGCGTATACAAATATAGAATTCTTCTAAAGGAAATCATCCGCATAGCACCAATAATTTTTTGAATATTTGTTGTGGCATTAATTATGTTGTTACAATAATTAGAAAACACGGTATCCATGAAGGTGCCAACAAGTTCAATAAAACTCCCACATAAAAATAATAAAAAGCCGTGGGATAATATTATACAGAACAGTGGAAAATGCTAGTCAGAGCCATCAAACATTTCATGTGCTGCAGTGTTATATATAGGCAAAAATCAGTATTAATGTCACTACTATATCGTTACTTTTCTAGAAGGTTGCCTACTTGGCTTACAACGATCAGTTGCCTCACACGTTTAGTGGTACAAGAGGTGGGCACACAAAAGGTAAGAGTTCCAATTTCAGTTCAAAACAAGCGCTTCGCTTTCGCACCGTATTTTTTTATTTTCAAATTGGTGGATGCGAGTGTGATGCTTCGCACTTGGTGCATATCATTCGATGAAATACATAATGATTAGGTGCTCCAGTGTCGTCTAATCCGTATGCTTTCAGTGATTACACTTTTCAAGCTTCAGAAAAGCAGAGCATTTTCCTAAAGATGAATGCAAACTGTTGTGACATTACCATGAATATTCTTCCTTATCACTAAACTAAGCATTTAGAAATGTATGATTAACATCTTAATCGTGACCGTCCATGCATATATATGTATATATATATATATAAAACTCAGACATACTTGATCCTTTTGCTTTCCCTGGATGCCAGAGAGCACCAAAATGGTACCAAAACTAAAGAAAAAGTGATATTCGTCCCTTTGGCATAGGAATCGTTATAACACACAACTGAACAATGCCTTCAAAGAAAGAGTTCATTGTTTATTGTACAACGAAAATAACTTGCACATTGCTCTGGGTGATTCGATGGTATGTCGCCGTTTAATATATGCTCACCCACGTTGACACCTTGTCGCACATTTCTGTCGTGACGGCTAATTTCGATGATCATGACCAGCGCCCATACATAGCCGTTTATCACATATCTACCACTTATGAGAGTTGACTTGATGCGACCTCGTAACTTACAAACTAGTGTTGTGATGGCAGCTGCCGCCAAGAGCGCATGCGTGAATGTGAGTAAAATGACGTCGCACTGGAGTTGTCTATATGACTAACTCTATAAATCTGTGTTAATTCTTGTTTCACCATCTGTTACTTCAGTGGCGACGAGGCGATTAAGCCCCACGGCCAGGGAACGGCATGGCGACGCATGCTGAACCGCCTATTTTTGACGAAGGGGACGACAAGTGGAAAACATATTAGGTGCGATTAGAAGCTTTCTTCGAAGCCCATGAATTCTTCGATCCGAAGAAGCGTCGAGCTCTGCGGGTTAGTGCCCTGAGTACCAAGACTGTCGATCTTCTGGCAGGCCGTTGTGCACCTGAAAAGATAACGTACAAAGCAGCAGTTCAAAAATTGGCCGAGTACTTTGCGCCGAAAGGCAACGAGATAGCGGAGTCGTATCGGTTTTTCACAAGAAATCGGCAAGCTGACGAGTCAACGAGTGATTTCATTGCCAAGTTACGAAAGATAGCTCAACGGTGCAATTTTGGCCAGGCGCTGGATAGAATGCTGCGCGACAAACTTGTTTGAGGCCTGCGCAACGCTGTAGTTCGTCATAATCTGCTGGCACGGTCCGCACTATCGCTGCAGGAAGCCGAGGAAGCGGCGCGCAACGTACAACAGATGGGAGATGGACAAATGAGTGTCGGCGTCAACGCACTGTGGAAAAAGCAAGGGGGGCTGCTCTTCGGGACGCCGCAGCGAAGGCGGATGGCACAAGAGTGGCGATGTGGGCTTGTTGGTGAAACATTTGAAAGAAATTTGTGTAGCGCGAGGTGAAAAAACGAACACAGTGTTCGTTTTTCGTTCCTGTGTTCGTTTTTTCGCCTCGCGCTACATAAACTTCTTTCGGATGGCACAGTTCAGCGACGAAAACCAGAACAGGTGCCTTTGCTGCGGCAGTGACCACCATAGGACCACTAGGTGTAGGTTCCACCGCACTGAGTATTTCCAACCTTCGCGTAGATACAATGAATGATAATCTGACGAGTATCATTACGGAGTGTGCAGTGCAAGTTGGAGGCAGAGTAGTTAGACAGGACACTGGCAAGCTTTCCCAGGAAACGAAAAATCTCATTAAGAACCGTCAAACCATGAAAGTCTCAAGTACAACAAACAAAATAGAACTAGCATAGCTTTCGATGTTGATTAATAGGCGTAAGGTATCCGACGTAAGAAGGTATAACATGGAGAGAATTGAACACGCTCTGAAAAACGGAGGAAGCGTCAAAGCAGTGAAGAGGTAACTTGGGATAGGCAAAAATCGGATGTATGCACTAAGGGACAAAGTAAACAAAATAACTACCAATATGGATAGGATAGTTAAAATAGCGGAGGAGTTTTACAAAGATCTGTACAGTAGCCGGGACAACCATGACTTTAATACTATAAGAACTTGCAGTAACCCAGATGACACCCCACCAGTAATGATAGAAGAAATCAGAAAAGGTTTGGAGAGCATGCAAAGAGACAAAACTGCTGGTGAGGATCAGGTAACATCAGATCTGCTGAAAGATGGCGGACAGATTGTGTTAGAAAAACTAGCCACCCTGTTTACGAGGTGTCTCCTGGCGGGAAGAGTACCAGAGTCCTGGAAGAATGCTAACATCATCTTAATACATTAGAAAGGAGATGACAAGGACTTGAAGAACTACAGGCCAATTAGCTTGCTCTCTGTAGTATACAAGCTATTTACAAAAGTAATTGCTAACAGAGTAAAGAAAACATTAGAATTCAATCAACCAAAGGAACAAGCAGGATTTCGAACAGGCTACTCAACAATCGACCACATTCATACTATCAATCAGGTAATAGAGAAATGCTCAGAATATAACCAACCACTATACGTAGCCTTCATAGATTACGAGAAGGCGTTTGATTCAGTATAAATATCAGCCGTTATGCAGACACAGCGAAATCAGGGCGTCGATAAAGTATATATAAAACATCCTGGAAGAAATCTACAGGGGATCAACTGCTACCATAGTGCTTCATAAAAGAAAGCAACAGAATACCAATCAAGAAGGGGGTAAGGCAGGGGGACACAATCTCCCCAATGCTATTTACCGCGTGCTTACAGGAGGTTTTCAGAAGCGTAGAATGGGAACAGTTAGGGATAAGAGTTAGTGGAGAGTACCTTAGTAACCTGCGCTTCGCCGATGACATTGCATTGCTGAGTAACTCAGGGGACGAATTGCCACTCATGATTACGGAGTTAGACAAGGAGAGCAGAAAGGTGGGTCTTAAAATGATTCTGCAGAAAACGAAAGTAATAAAAGACAACCTCGGAAAAGAGCAGTGCTTCGAGATAGGTAATAGTGCACTTCAAGTTGTAAAAGACTGTGTCTACTTAGGGCAGGTAATAACCGCGGAGCCGAACCATGTGGTTGAAGTGACTAGAAGAATAAGAATGGGGTGGAGCACATTTGGCAAGCACTCTCAAATTATGACAGGTAGATTGCCACTATCCCTCAAGAGGAAGGTACATAATAGCTGTATCTTGCCGGTACTTAGCTACGGAGCAGAATCCTGGAGACTTACAAAGAGGGTTCAGCTTAAATTGAGGACGGCGCAGCGAGCAATGGAAAGAAAAATGGTAGGTGTAACCTTAAAAGACAAAAAGAGAGCAGAGTGGATTAGGGAACAAACGGGGGTTAAGGATATCATAGCTGAAATCAAGAAGAGGAAATTGACATGGGCCGGGGATGTAGCGCGTAGACAGGATAACCACTGGTCATTAAGGGTAACTAACTGGATTCCCAGAGAAGGCAAGCGGGTTAGGGGGAGACAGAAGGTTAGGTGGGCAGATGAGGTTAAGAAGCTTGCTGGTATAAATTGGCAGCAGCAAGCACAGGACCGGGTTAACTGGCGGAACATAGGAGAGGCCTTTGTCCTGCAGTGTACGTAGTCAGGCTGATGATGATGATGAAGTAAGGAGTGCTAATCAGGCGTTGATTTGTAGCATTTGTGTTACTTAAAGTCACTTAAATTTGCGGTACTAAACCTCAGGTGGCCACTGTATATGTCTTGAATCGGCTTGCATAAGCCTATTCCAGACATGTAATTGTATTCCTGCGCACACATGAGGGCTCCCTAGCTCAAAACGGTCGCCGCTTGCCCCGTGTAGCCTTAGCAGGCCGAATCTCTTCCCTACCATCTCCGGCATCCGCGTGAGAGGAACACGTCATGCGTTTGTCAGAGCAGGTGCGCATGAGCCCGGACAAGCCTAAGCCCCCGAGCACGCGTGCGGTGTTGTTTTGTGGACCAGCGTTATTTTGTTGTCTACTGTGTCACGGATTATTAAGCTTGCAACTTATTACTGATCACGAAAACTGCAACATTTCATGTGCACGAGAGTAGTCATATTATGAGCCTTTTAGGCATTAACGTTTGCTGGTGTCCCGTAAAATGAATAAATATAACGAGTGTTCGAACACGCCAGATCAATACTTTGTTTCCAGGGCTGGCGTCTGTCTGATCGATGTTGTAATAACGTGGACACGAACGCCGGCAAAATGGAGGCATAATCTGCGCATATCGCTGAAATTAACGAAAAAAAATCATTTTGAGGATGCACACATTTTATTGCTGCGTCTGATTATTTCTGACAAGCTTTACCCATCTATTTACTAAGCAACAAATTGCACAAACTGCACATGTCAAGTCAAATAGTTCTTGAGTTGTCACGGTTGGCGACGTCAGAGCACAGTCGTCTACGCAGACGACCGAAGTCACAGCTCTACCTAGGGCACACTAGGTAGGGCCATTCCATCATAGAGAAACATAATAACGTAAAAAGCGGACGCTCCCGTAGGCTCCTGTGGCCGAGCTACTGTTATAGTGCCTAGAATAGGCACTATACTACTGCATTGCTTTAAGCCTAACGAGCGGCGGGTCGGACTCGAAAATGTCTTGAGCATAAATAAATGAAAAGTTTTTCTTTCCACTGCTTTAATTTGAACCAGTATTTTCATGCTCCGAAAGCGAGTGTCTTTACGGCGTAGGCTACACACCCATGCTTCCACATTAGGAATACATGTAAAGTTCATCTAAACCACATGAATGTGTACCCTTTGTGCAAAAAATATCCAGAGAGCTAGACGACGCTTACTAGTCATACTTTAAAGATTCTTGTGGTAAAGCATTAAACGTCCTCAGTGGGACACGATGTAGAGCCGATATAGATAATGCACAAATCAATAAGTTTTTTTACTTTGAAAAAAAGTATTTCATGCCAAACTTAAAACTTCATGGAGCATGGGTAC